AGTGCTGATTCTATAGCGCCACACTGATTATTGATCATTTATATTTTCCTTTGTAAATTGTCCACTTTTCTCTTAACAGTCTTTCTCTCATTGAATTCTGAAAGCTCTTTATATGTGAAATAAAGTAATCTTTTGTGCTGTAAGTTGGAAAGAAAAAACAAAAAAGTGAGGGTGGTCAGACTTCATCTCTTGTAGTTTGGACATGTTATCAGGAGGGACCAGTCTCTGGAGAAAGACAGTATGTTTGGTAAAGTGGAGGGGCAGCAAAAAGACCCCCAACAAGATGGATTGGCCCAGTGGCAGCAGCGCAGCGCTGTGAGGATGGCGTAGGACCGGGCACCGGGCAGTGTTCTGTTCTGCATACATAGGGTCTTCATGAGTCAGAGCCGATTTGACGGCACTCAACAATAACATGGGCAAAATATGGAGTCATGGGTGGCACTGTAGGATAAGCACTGGACTGCTAACCTCAAGGGTGGCAATTTAGACCCATCAGCTGCTTCTTGGAAACCCTATACAGGGTCGTTATGAGTCAGAACCAATTCAACAACACTTAACAACAACAACAATATGGGCAAAATACGAATATTGAACAACATAGGATACAACTTTGGAAGTTCTTACTCATCTATATGCCAAGAAATTTGTAAGGCAGCTAGCTGGCCAACCAACTGGAAAAGACTCATTATTAACCTGTAATACTATAATAGTTAGGATTCTGTGTCAACTTTACTAAGCTGGGATTTCCAGATGTTTAGCAGTTGGAAATGTGCTTATTCCCATTGTGATGTAATCTAATACAGGCATAGTTAACTCTATGATGAGTAGCTATGAGCAACCAATCAACTAAAGAGATATTTCCTGGGGGATGTGGCCTGCTCCCAATTTAGTGAACACCCCAGAAAGGTTTTCTCTTTCTCTTCCCTTGAATACCTGGGACTCAACAACTGTAAGCTGTTTCCTTGATAATAAACTTTTCTTTATACATATACATATATATGTTTCACTGGTTTTGCATCTCTAGAAAACTTGGCTTAAGACAGATATGTAGATAACACAACCCTGTTTGCTTTCTTGAAAGTGAAGACCTCTCTAAGCACTTACTGACAAGATCAAAGAATACCACCTTTAATATAGATTACACCTCAACATCAAGGAAAAAAAAATCCTCACAACTACACCAATAAGCAACATCATGATCCACAGAAGAAAATAGTGAAGCTGTCAAGGATTTCATTTTAACTTGGATCCATAATCAAAACTCAAGAAAGTAGCTGTCAAGAAACCAAATGATGGATTATATTGGGCAAAATCTGCTGCAAAAGACCTCTTTTGAGGACTAAGGTACAACCAAGCTATGGTATTTTCAATCCCTTCATATGCATATGAAAGCTGGGCAATGAATAAGAAAGAACAAGAATTTTATGCCTTTGAAAGTTATGGTTTTGG